GAGTCAGGGGGAGTCAGGGGGGAGCAGTCCGACTGACGGGGTTCAAACAGTAACTGATGATAAAAAACTCACGTCTGACAGAGACACAGCTGGAGCTCCAGAGTGAGGAGAACCTCCACTGTTGATGTCTGTGCTGGGAGGAGTCTACACACACACACACACACACACACACACAGTTCAGGTTCAAGGTTCAAGGTTCATCTCCTGTCGTCTGTGTCTGTCGACTCTGAAGGTCAGGACACGCCCACCTGTTGGAGGTCTCTACCCATCAGCCCCTGCAGCAGGTTGGTTTTATTCTCTAGCTCCCTCTGCAGGTCAGTCTGTCACCCAGACACAGAACAGGTCAGTCAGCTTCACACTCACACTCACACTCACACACACACACAGGTCACAGCGGAGGTCACGGGGTCACCTGCTGCTTCTGACTCTCCTCCAGTCTGAGCCTGAGCTGCTGCAGCAGTCGCTCCTTCTGTCCCACCTCCTTCTGCAGAACAACAGAGAAAAAAGAAGAAAAAAAAAATCAAATCCCCGTCTCCTGGAGTGAATCAACAGTCAGAGTTGAACTGATGTTGTCCAGACAATTCATTTCCAACTCCAATATATCAATAACAGGTTTAGAACCAGTGACTGCAGCTGTGTTTCAGAGACGGAGACGTCTGATTGGTCGGTCACTGAGGACCTGGACCATCTTCACAGCACACCACGATTCTTACAGGTATGACACAATCATGCTGGGCTAGAACAGGGGGGGGGGGGCAGTTAGGGGGGGGTGGGTCCTCACCTTACACTCAGTCCACAGTCTGTTGCTCTCCTCCAGCTTCCACTGCAGCTCTGCCTACAGCAGACAGAAGAACAGAGAGGTTCTCCACTGTAACAGCTGACCTGTTGACCTGTTGACCTGTTGTTGACCTGTTGTTGACCTGTTGTTGACCTGTTGTTGACCTGTTGTTGACCTGTGTTTTACCTTCTGGTTGTTGAGCTCGTCTCTGCTCATGCTGGCTCTGAGGAGCTCCTGCTTCATCTGCAGTATGGACGACTCCTGGGAGCACAGTCTCTGCTGCTGCGCCACCTGCAGGTTCGTTTCTGTTATTACTGTCAGACTGTAGTCAGATCTGACTTTAGTTTTACTGCAGTACTGTGTGTAGTATTTTCATTAGAGTACTGCCAGGTTTACCTTGACTCCCTGGAGGGTTCTCAACTCCTGTTTACACCTCAACACCTCCCTCTGGTGGAAACAGAGAAACAGCGGCGGTTTAATCATTGATCACAGTGGAGTGACAGAACTACAGTCTGACTCTAACAACATTTTCAGTTTGTGCTCCTGTTTACCTTCAGCTCCTGCACCTCCTCCATGCTCTGGTCCAGACGACTGCGGACGACCGTCTGCACAGAGAAGAAGGAAGAGTGTGAGTCACAGCCACCAGAAACTGATACCCGTGTCAACCCTCACACACACACACACACACACACAGAGAGAGAGAGAGACAACAGAAAGGTGATCTGCACAGAACACAATGGACTGGTGAGACAGAGCAGTGAAGGAGGAGCAGCGGTGAAGGAGGAGCAGCGGTGAAGGAGGAGCAGCGGTGAAGGAGGAGCAGCGGTGAAGGAGGAGCACTGACCAGCTGCTGTTCTGGGTCACACTGGTCCACATGTAGGGAGACGTCCTCCTCCTCCTCCTCCTCAGGGAGGGAGCCCTGCAGCAGCAGAGCCTGAGGAGCAGACATGAAAAATGAATGTTTATAAATGAAAACCTCCAGCAGGTGGAGCACTTTTGTAGTAGCTTTTTTCACACACCTGTAAAGCAGACACCATTTTCCGCGTCTCCTGCACCTCCTTCTCCAGCTCCTCACTGAGGGAATCGTCCAACGTCGTCCCTACGTCAAGAGACGACTCTGCTGCGTTCATAGAAATGGACAAACAGACGCAGTTTGACACTCGTCCACTAGGTGTTTGTTCTTGGTCCGATAGTGAAATGTCAGTGGACAGAACTGACCGGTGCTTTGCTGCTGCTGGTACTCTTTCTCTAGTCCGTCCGACTGGCCACCGGGGGGCGCTCTGTCTTGCGGCAGTGGGCTGACGGAGCTGGGGTTGAATAGACCAACAGTGATGAGTGGACATGAATATGGACATGATTGACAGACAAGAGGAGAAGAGAACCTGTTTGTCTGAGGAGAGTCCTGTTCATCAGGTGACCCCCTCTCATACTGCTCCACCAGGGCACGGACACACACACTCCTCCCCTCATCCAAACCCCCACCACTGAAAGATGGAAAACACAGTGACGGTCAGAGACTCAACACTGAGGCCGAGTGACCGGAGTGGACAGGACCAGACAGGAGCAGGTCAGGGGACAGTGGAGGTGAAGGACAGAACGAGTTTAGGTTTTGTTTTTATGACAAATAGAATAGACTTGAGACGCAATTAGACATGTTGGCCACCAGAGGGCAGCAGAGGCCACACACGTGACATGACATAAATACAGGTGTATTTTGCAGCCGTGGTTTCAGGTAAACATCACTGTGACAAACCTGTTAACGCGAGCGACACGTGACGGCTGTGAGGCGTCAAAACGAGCGGACGCCAGCGCGGCTGCCGCCCCCTGGGCTAACGCCACGGTGGGGAGAGGATTGTGGGGGGCGCCGCCTCCGGGGCCCACGTGACATGACATAAATACAGGTGTATTTTGCAGCCGTGGTTTCAGGTAAACATCACTGTGACAAACCTGTTAACGCGAGCGACACGTGACGGCTGTGAGGCGTCAAAACGAGCGGACGCCAGCGCGGCTGCCGCCCCCTGGGCTAACGCCACGGTGGAGAGAGGATTGTGGGGGACGCAGCCTCTGAGCCCGGTCCTCCCACCTGCAGCAGCGGCCGTCCTGTGATTGGCCGAGGGTTTGAAGTGTGCAGCCAGAGCCAGGATGATCCTCATGACGGACTTCAGGTTCCCGTCCACGATGTCTGCGGACGGAGACGGAGCAACGGAAACGTTAGAAAGAAAACGGTTAGACCTGTGGACGATCAGGAGGATCGGTGCGTGATTTACCCCGTGCAGATATGTGTGGCATCCGTATGTGCCTGGAGGTAATAAAGTGCAGGACCTGCTCCACATTCCTCCTGCTCTCCTCTTTGTTCTGTGGAGTCTCAGAAACTCCCTCCAGAACTTCACCAGCTGGAGGACGTCAGGGAGAGACGGGAGTCAGGGAATACACACCAGGAGTTAACAGTGTGTGTGTGTGTGTGTCCTCACCAACTATCTCGATCAGCTGTGTGAGCACCACTCCATCCTGGAGGTCCAGTCTCAGGTTGGTGATGGGCTTCAGCCCCGGCTTCTTCTTCAGCTGAGCGTTGACCCAGGAGACGTACGTGGTCAGTTGTTGCTGCAGATCAACAGTCGCACACACACACACACACACACACACACACACACACACAATAATACATGTAAATCCACTGATGTATTCTTCATATTCTGTGTTCAGAGGAGCCGACGTGTTGGTGTGAAGTAAGAAACTGATCTTCCTCTTTTGTAACATTTATTTCATCATTCTCATGTTGTTGTTTTTTTAACTCTGGACTGAGGATCTGAAACACTGGTTGTTTGACTTGTTGAAATGTTGATTTTTTCATTCATACAAAACTTTGAGCGGAGGCTCTGAAACACTGGTTGTTTAACTTGCTGAAATGTTGATTATATTTTTTCATTCATACAAAACTTTGAGACCAAACCAAGACATTTAGTCCAGTAATAACTCTGTCGTTGAAGTTCAGTGTAAACACATCACAGCTGCTGCTGCTGCTGCTGCTGCTGCTGTTGTTGTTGTTGTTTATTACAGTGTGTGTTTGTGAAGTGAAACCGTTAAACTAATGTAACAATAAAAGACTGATCTTTAAAGAACTCTCTCCGTGACGACTGTGGATTTTTCAAACTAACTAACTAACTAACCAACTAACTAACTAACTAACTAGGTTAGGACGGCAGGTGGCAGACTGGTTGTTTTGGCCCTTTGTTTGTCCTCCCTCTCTTTAACATAATCTGCTGAGGAGCCGCAGCAGATGAACCGAACATCCGCCCCACCTACACCTTTACATCACGTGACCGACCGTCGTCCCGGGATACGTTACAAAGCAGCATTTAATAACTAACCACATTTTTATGTCGACTTTACCTTTAATACCTGCTCATATTACTATATTACTAGTTATAATCTAGATTTTTTGTGAACTTGTGGGAAAAAATCTCTTTCCGGATTATGAAAACTGTAAAAGCCGGAAATCTTTTGTTAAAATCTTAAATAGCATTTTTACGTGTGTGGATAGCGAAGATAGCGACAACACAAACCGATTAAAATGAATGACGGCGGCCGTTTTACTTTCAGCCGGTCAGTGTGTTGCTCTTTGTTGAATAGAAAAATGTCAATAACCGCAGGATGATGACGATAATGTTAGTGACGCCCGGTTAACCGTTACCTCGTTGAAGCTGCCGTGAAGGACCTCGTCCAGCAAACTTCCTCTGGAGAGTGAGGCGATCATCTTTTAACCTGCAAACCCATTTAAGCTAGCTCGTTAGCCGGCTAGCCCGTCTGACACCGGTGCTTAAACAACGACTCCCACCCCCCCGTTACTAACTACCCCGGCCAACGTCAACAAACCAGCACAATTGAATGCGAACAACCGTTATACTCTGAAGAGGAAATCGATGTCAAGTCGAGTCAGACTGATAGAGCCAACATCCGGTCTTTTCAAAATAAGACAACAGCGAACTACAACTTCCGGTGTGTCGCTATGTCTTTTAAATAATATAAAAAGTGTGGAAGAAGTGTTTGATTTCAATTTTGTCGTATAAATTTTTGTTGATATTTTATTTTTTATTTTATTTTTTGTTTGTCATAAATGTTACTGAAACTTTCCTTGAGTTGTTAGAAAAATGTGTCAAATGAACACAAGGTGAAACTGAAAACAAACTCTGGTTGATGATCGTCATTTAATGTCACTTTACAACAAAGGTGGTGCTAAATAAAATTTATTTTTTAACATTTTCCTAATTAAATTAATAAAAATAATCTGTAAAAAATCAGAGCAGATGGAATAATAAATTAATATAACAACATAATTAAATTCCCACATATAGATATATATACATATATTTTTATGGCTGCTGAAGAGTTTGTTCTCAGATCATCTCCTCTGGGTTAGACCTGTGAGGACAGGATGTTGATGCCGACAGTGGGTTCATAAACCAAAACTGTTCCTCTTTCATCTTTTACCCATTTTCATATTGATCTGTTCCAGAACGTGGAGGAACGGGAGGTAGATGTTTTTGGGTCCAGGAGGAGAAAAGGTCACGTCTCCGTCCTCCATCACCACAGTCTCACCAAACGCACACAGCTGATAATGGACGACAAGAGACAGAACGTCGGGGGGTTTGTTTTCTTTTCTAAACACAGACGTGATGGTATAAACCTGTGTGTGTGTGTGTGTGTGTGTGTGTGTGTGTGTGTACCTGCTTCTTCACCAGTTTCTGTGTCAGCTGAAGAAGTCTGCTCCTCTGACCTCTCTTCAGGTCACTGAGCCTCAGTGTGGCCCGGGCCAAGGTCAAACTGGACTGTGGTGGTACAGAGTTCTGACTGGACAGAAGACTCACTGCATCCTAACACAACAGACCAATCACTGACCACAACAGACCAAGCACTGAACACAACAGACCAACCACTGACCACAACAGACAACCACCTGTAGTACCGTCAGTACTCTGTAGTGGTCCTGTCAGTACTCTGTAGTGGTCCTGTCAGTACTCTGTAGTGCACCCGTCAGTACTCTGTAGTGGTCCTGTCAGTACTCTGTAGTGCACCCGTCAGTACTCTGTAGTGTACCTGTCAGTACTGTGTGGTGTACCTGTCAGTACTGTGTGGTGTACCTGTCAGTACTGTGTGGTGTACCTGTCAGTACTCTGTAGTGCACCCGTCAGTACTCTGTAGTGGTCCTGTCAGTACTCTGTAGTGCACCCGTCAGTACTCTGTAGTGTCCCTGTCAGCACTCTGTAGTGTACCTGTCAGTACTCCGTAGTGTCCCCGTCAGTACTCCGTAGTGTACCTGTCAGTACTCCGTAGTGTACCCGTCAGTACTCTGTAGTGTACCTGCAGCATCTCAACGCTCTCTTCTGAACTTCCTCTCTGTTCTGTCAGCTCTGCAGCTTCGACCAATAGAAACGCTCGAGTGTTGGGGTCGTCCCACTGACCAGACTCCTGGACTCCCTCCTGTATCACCCTCGCTGTCTCCTCGTTCATGTTTTTACCTTAAACACACACACACACACAGATCAGCCGTGTTTGTGTGTCCACACACACACACACACACAGTTTGTGTGTCCACACACACACACACACACACACACACAGATCAGCCGTGTTTGTGTGTCCACACATACAAAGACAGGACACAGAACCGGACCAGACCTGGGACACGTGGACCTGTGGCACAGAAGGAAACCAAACTGTGGACCAGGGCCCGACGACAGCGCAGCCACAGACAGACGCCCAGTCTGTCAGCGGCCTCGGCAGCTCGGGGACAGTCTTCATGTGGGACAGTGGAGTCCACAGTGTCCTGCAGTCAGGAGAACACACACACACACACACACACACATAACAAGAACAGAGTGTAAATGTGACCTTTGAACTCCAGCAGATTATTTATTTGAACATGAACGTGAAGACGTCCCATCATACTATCACTGTCACATGATTTGTGTGGTGGTCAGTGTGACACAGCACCTGTGTGTCCTCAGGAGGAGGAGATCTGGTGACTGAAGGAGACGTCTGCAGGAGCGTCAGGGAGGAAGCTGCTGTCTGACAACTGGAGGAGGAGAAAAGGAAGATGACAAACACACACACACACTCACACACTCACAAAGACACACACACACGACAGGCTCACCTCTGGACGATGTGCCCTTGCTGCAGGTAGAGGGCGACCTTCAGGAGACTGGACTCTGTTTCCAGCTCCAACTTCTCAGCTTCACTGCAGCTCAAAGACCTGAGTTCCTCAGATAAAGAAGACAACCAGCGGGAGGCGCTATCCATCAGAAGGCACTGAGACAGAGGAGAAGACAGACGTGAGAACGTCAACACCAAGGTCAAAGGTCAACGGGTTTAACTCAGGGGACGTTTTACCGTCACTCCTCCTGGAGTCTGGTCCTGGTTCTGGTCCTGGTTCTGGTCCTGGTTCTGGTCCTGGTTCTGGTCTGAACCACTTCTTCTCTTCCCAGACCTTCGTTCTTCACAACAATCAGACAGATGTCAACACTCAGAGAGAGAATTCCTGCTTCAATAAAAAAACTGTCCAAATGTTAAACAATAAATAACTGAGTTAAAAACAATAAAAAAAATTCTAAATACTCTGAAGTAGAAAAAAAAAACTACACAGTATTTGTGTGCGTTATGATTTGTAGTTGTGAGACAGTGAACAGCGACAGACCTGGACCTGGACCTGGACCTGGACCTGGACCTGAAGACTGGGACTGACTGTGGACCAGGGCCAGGACCAGTTCAACTCGGGCCAGGTGGTGTCGGATACACAGTGTTGGTCCAAACAGGGTTCTGACCCGTGGGGTGAGGTCAGCGTCCAGGAGTTCTTCTAAAGCCTGAGAACAACACACACACACACACACACACACACACGGTCATCATCTCTTCATCTTCTGTCCCTGGTTCATCATCAGGAGGAGACTGGACCTCTCTGTTGTCCTGGAGACACTTGTTGCTGTAAAACGTCTTCAGCTGCTGCAAAAACAACACAAACAACAATCAAATCATCAAGGCAGCATTTCACAAACTGTACCAGGAGCGCCCCCTACTGTAGATACAACTGAGCTTTATTACAATGTTTAAAATTAGAATTTTTTTTTTTTTTAACCATCTCATCGTCTGATGACTTCAGTTTATCGTCACATTTTGAACCAAATCCAAATGGAAACCTGCTCCAATAAGTGAAGCTCATCAACAGGTTCTGACCCAGAACCATCTTCTGGTTCTGTCATTCTAGAACATTCACCTGGTGCTGGTCGGTGTGAACGTTTGGTCCACTGGTCAGAGAGAGTCCGACTCCTCGGGTCAGCTGCACCGACTCCTTCACAGCCTCAGTGAAGAGACACAGATCAGTCAGAACACGGATCTGCAGAACACACACACACACACACACACACCGGCTCAGAACCACAGCTCCACCAGAACCAGAGGAACAAAAAGATTCAAAGCAGGAAATTCTCACCTGAAGTATTTTTCCTTCCACGTAGCGCTGCAGGTCTCGACACACGGTTCCCACAAAGTACAGGTACAGAACCAACATGGGCAGAACCTGGAACACAAACAACAGACATGAACCTCACACACCCTGGACGTCAGACGGTGTGTGTGTGTGTGTGTGTGTGTGTGCAGACCTGGACGCAGTAGCCAGTGGAGTAGAGCCAGTGACACAGGAAGTGAAGAGCGCCCACAGTGGTACCGAGGTGAAGACGCCGGGGCTCAGAGAACAGATCCACCCCTGGGAGGAGTTCCCCTACGATCCTGAAGGAGGCGTAGGCGAGGTCGTGGGGGGGGTGGGCCAGTGAGCAGCACAGAACACACTGGGTGAAGAGGACGCAACATTTAAAAAGTCCAGGAGCCAATCACAGCAGACCACAGCTGAGGGCAGTTTAGATTGAACATCAACCTCATCCCTGATGTAAGGCAAGAGGGTTCACCGATCGCCACCGTGTGGTCAGACTGGAGATCTGCAGGATCAGGTCACTGATTCACTCCAAACTGACCACAGGTGTGAATGTGAGTGTGAATGTTTGTTTGTTTTTTTTGTTTGACCCTGTGACATATTCTAAAAGGTTTTTTTTTTCTGGTACATTTACCAAAAACAAACGACACATCTTGTGTGAGTCGACGTTGTACCTTGAAGAGATGAGCGGAGAGAAGACAGCAGCTGGTCCTCTGTCTGATGTTGGAGGTGAAGATGAACCTGGGAGTGACCACAGTCAGTCAGTCAGTCAGTCAGTGGCTAGGAGAGAAGCCTCCTGACCAGTCAGTGACCTGTTCAAACCTACTGTGCCATCTTAGCGGCGAGGCCGGCGGCCTGCAGACACCCCCACACTCCGGCCTGTCTCACCCTCTGCTGCGTCCAGCCGCTGCCCCGTGAGACCCCGTCCCATTGGTCCACGGCCCCGGAGCAGCTCAGAGCGCAGTCGACGGCTTTACTCCAGCAGGAGAGAGCGGCTCTGGTACGGAACGGGAGGGAGTATTCAAAGAGTACACAGACATACTGCAGTACTTCACGCTGTGAAAACACAAACCTCAGGTTTCTGTTGTACATGTGCAGGTTTCCCAGTTCATGCAGAGCCTGGACCGTGAGGGAGTCAAGACTGTGGGTCTGGAGAGACTCTGGGAGGAGGAGGAGCAGAGGAGGAGCAGAGGAGGAGAGTCAGACTGTTACTACAGTACAGTACATGTCAAATACTGCAGTAGTATCTCCTCACTGATAGTAGCAGAGTAGGCAGCAGTGATGGTGGTCAGGGACACCTCCTCCACAGGGAGGTCCACAGGGTCTGTGTCCTCCTTCAGGTCCTCCGTCAGGTCGGCGTGGCGGCCGTTTGCAGTGGGAATGACGCTGCAGTTCATCAGGCTTGCAGAGTGGTGGCGCTGCAACTGCTGCGCAGAGGCTTTAAAGGAAAGAAAACCTTAACTGGTGTGAACTCCACGAGTGAACCAATCAGCAGCTGTGTCAGGAATTAAACCCACAACCCTGCGTCCGTGCCAGGAACAGCGTGGTCAGAGAGCGGCAGTGACGGAGGCTCTGCAGACACGGACAACTTCTCTCCAACACTTGACGGTGAGTCTCCAGTGTGTCCTTCACGTCCAGAGGAACACACACCAGGGACATGGAGCGCCGTCTCTCTGCACCTGAGACAGAGAAGAAGAGAAGAAGAGAAGAAGAGAAGAAGAGAAGAAGTCCGTTAAATACTTTAAATTACTGCTAATATTCTGTAGTAGTACTCTAAAGTACTTGGATGTATTTCAGACACTTTAGCTTCAATGCTAACCTTTCAGCTCAGATGCTTCCTGACGTGTAGAGTTCGTGGGTCTGTGATTGGGGAGTTGCAGTGCATTGTGGGGGCTCCGACCAATGAGCAGCTGGCAGCTGGCGTAGTTCCTACAGGTCACCTGGAACACAGAGGAGAGAGAGGAGCAGAGTGTGTGTGTGTGTGTGTGTGTGTGTGTGTGTTCTACCTTTTGTCCAGTGACCCTCTCTGTCATCACGTGGTGCGGCTGTGGGACCGCAGGCCCTCCCTGGTCACTGATCCTCTTCAGCAACTTCTTCTGAGCCTGGACTAGAAGAGGGATTATAATCCAGCTGTAGTGTTCCCTGAAACACACACACACACACACACACACACACACACACACACACACACAGAACCAGTGGTAGCTGTCGTCCCAGTGTGATCCTCGTCTGAGTCTTTCCGTCTCACTGTCCAGTACAAACGCTGAGATACTGCAGTAAAACCAAACTCACCGTGTGTACCAGTTGAAGAGTAGAGCGCAGTGAGTCAGACGTTCCCATTTCCCAGAATCCCGCAGCAGCTGCAGGGTGTCAAACACCAGGGTCCGGACCCACCTCAGGTCCACCGGGCTGTGGTCCAGAGGAGCCGAGAACTGAAGACTGGACTCTGGGTCTGCAGTCAGGTCACCGTCATAAAAACTCCACAGCTGGAGGAACACACACACACACACACACACACACACACACACACACACACACTGCGTCAGTGTAAACGTCGACTGTTTTGATTTGTTCTCAGTAGAACTGATTCAATCTGAGTTTCGTCTTAGTCAAAGCCAAATCCAAATGATTTTTTTTGACTAAATTTAAATCAGATTTAACGACACTCTTTGACAACGACATTTTATGATTTAGGAAATTGACTCAGTTCATTTTTAGGGATGTAACGATGTGTTAATCAGTTAAAGATCAATTGTCAATCATCCCCAGTCGCTGTTATTCCCATCATCCATTTCTGTCTGTGTGTGTGTGTGTGTGTGTGTGTGTGTGTGTGTGTGAGACCCACGCCCAGTTGGTCCATCATGTCCATGATGAGCTCCGTGGCCATGGACAGTGTGTGTGTGAAGGTGGTCTGCAGCTGCTCTTCAGTGATGGGACAGTGAAGGTGGAGGAGAACGTCTGACTGAAGTCGACGCATCTGCTCCCACAGCGTCTGACACACACACTGCAGCGCCATCCAGTGGCCGCCGCGATGAGCCAACACCTGGAGAAGGAAACATGACGTCACAGATTTCTATCCTGGGATTTTGGTTTTTTTTTTTTTTGGGTTCATTTGATCTTCTGAGCAGTACCATGGCCCTCTGGAAATGACGGGCAGCTTTGTGGAGTGAGTCCAACACCGTGGAGACAGAGTCACTGTTCATCTGAGGAGACTGCTCCTCCAGAGATCCTGAGGTTCCACCTCCACCACCGGCTGCTCCTACAGAAAATACAAACGCAGGAGAGGAATCATGAATGAGATCAAAATTTATTTTTGGAAAAAAAGGGAAAAAACAAGGCAAGAAAAACTTGAAGTCACATGTACCACAAGAACTTTTAAAAACCTTAAAGGTCTAGATTAGAACCGACGGTCTAGCATACTGCCCCCTGGTGGTTGTCTGTAGCTCTGTTCAAAAGCACTGCCTCAGATATAAAATATTTTCAAAGCCAAATTCAGAAGATTGATGAGAAGGTTTGTTCCTCACCGTCATTGTTCTGCTGATGTTCCTGTGAATCCACCTGGTTCCTCAGATCATGAGACGACGACGTCTCTGACAGGATCTCATGTTGACGGAGCTGCTGTTCCTGCTGTGTGTTCCTGCTCAGCCCGACACAGGAGTGGTCCAGGGAGAACAACAGTGGATCTATCTGACTGTACCTGAGGAAAGAGGCCACAGCAGGTTCTCCAGGTTCTGTTCTGTCTTGGTAAATCAAAAGTCTGACACCTCTGAGTCAGTGTGATGTGATGAAGACCTGTGCTGCGTGGCTCCTCCGTTCTGCTTCTTCAGACTCTGATGTAACAGTGTGACGTGAGCCTGAGCCACGCTGAAGTTCAGGTGTGACTTCCACGCACACTCCACCATGAACGAGTCCCTCAGCCGTCGCTGCGTCTTCCTGCGCCGAACCGCAGAGGACAGGAGAGCCAAGAGTTTCTTCACCACCTCCCTGAACAGAGGGTGGAGGGAGGGGGGGTTAGATGGAGTGACAGGAGCCGAAAACACACACACATACAGACACACACGTACTTGTTGGTTGTCATTGCGCTGCAGAACAGACTGACTGGGATTTTCTGTTTTTTCTTCTTCTTTTTGTCGTCGTCTGTTTGTAAGTTGTTCTAATTCAACAAAAACACAAACATTTTCTTTTGATTTATATGTAAAAAAAAGAAAACCCAAAATATTATTAATTTGGATTTAAACCCCAACATGCTGCCAGGAAGTATAAAGTCTTTACAGTAGATACAGTTAATGTTTCCATTAGAACATGAACAGAACATCTTCAGCACCTTGGACAGCTCCTGTGGAACGTTACGTTTTTGGTCCAAATGTTTGACGGAGTTCATCAACGCAGTGTCACGTCTGAGGGAAGAAAACTCAGGTGAAACTAAAACCAATCAAAAGATGAAAATCAACATGAAGGGTTAAATAAATAAATAAATAAATAAATGTACCTGGAAATGAATTCAAAAACGGTCGGTGCCCACTTCACCACGAGGTCGGGTTCTCCTTCCTCCAGGGTTCTCTGAAGAACCAGTGCTGCATATTCACTGAAACATGGTTTGAGCTTGAGTTCCATCACTACAAACCAACAGGAACAGAAACAGGAACAGAGTGGATTCAGTCTTTCATTTGTTGTTATTGTTAAACCTCATCAACTCGACTTTATTATTTACAAAGAAAAGAACAGACTGGTTCTGTTTGTAACACTGATGCCAACACTTCAGCCAGTAGGTGGCAGTAATGCACTTATTCTTCTATTGATTACTGTGTCACTCTGACTGCTGACACACGGGGTCACGTGACCTCTCCTCTTTACCGGCGTCGTAGGCGTCGTCCACTGTCGTGCTGTACATCAGGTCGTACAGCACAGACGGATCCTCGCTGCCCGTCAGTGGACGTGTGACCTCTACAGGAAATGAACATTAGTGCAGGTGCAAATACTGCGAGTATCACTGAGTACAACTGCAGTATCATCTGGCCTTGAAGTGAAACCACACCCTTGTCTTTGTGGACTCCAGTGTTGGACAAAGTTCTCCTCCTGGTCCTGAGCTGCAGGGCCTTCAGCTGGAGACGGAGCTTCTGTTCAGTCCTGGCTGCTGCAGCCTCGGAACTCTGAGGTGACAGGTACACACGTACACACGTACAGGTACACAGGTACAGGTACAGGTACACAGGTACAGGTACACACACAGAAATACACAGGAGTCAAAGAGAGAGAGACAAAGTGTGACGTTCAAAGACCCTGGTGGTGAGACGTTCTTACAGCGTCTCTGCTTGTTCCTCTGATCTGCGTCTGATTCTCGTACAGCTCCTTGAGGAGGCGGCGACCGCAGTTCAACCCGGTCAGAGCCCAGTGGTTCTCTCCCAGAAGACCTGACGTCTACGAGGAGAAGAGTCAACAGAACTCTGCTGTCTGTAGCATGAACACACACACACACACACACACACACACACCTTGGAGATGTAGAAGGTGATGCAGGCGACCATGTGCAGCATGGACTCGGAGATGTTTCTGCTCCACTTCTGTTTGAGAAGAGCAGAGTTCTCCTCCAGAACCAGCAAACATTTCTTCAGCACCTGGAGGAGAACGAACAGATGAGGCAACAAACATCGTCTGTTGTCATGGAAACGGCTGCAGTACAGACTTGACCCGGATACCTGTATCACAGGTTTACAGGGGACCTGGTGAAAAACCAGAGGAGCCAGAAGACCATAACAGAAGACCAGGGCCTGCACCACCGCAGCACCATCCTCCAGTCTCTGGGCCAGGTCCACGGCCAACAGCAGACGTCCACATTCTGATAACCGGGCTTCCTGAACACACACACACACACACACTTATATAGTGTTCATATTATATTTATATATGTGTTTTATATTGTAGTTATATACAGTCTTTTTCCTTCCACAGTACCAGTACCAGCACCAGCACCAGCACCAGCACCAGTACCAGCACCAGCACCAGCACCAGCACCAGCACCAGCACCAGCACCAGCACCAGCACCAGTACCAGTACCAGTCCCAGCACCAGTACCAGTACCAGCACCAGCACCAGTACCAGCACCAGTACCAGTACCAGCACCAGCACCAGTACCAGCACCAGTACCAGCACCAGTACCAGCACCAGCACCAGTACCAGTACCAGTCCCAGCACCAGTACCAGTACCAGCACCAGTACCAGCACCAGCACCAGCACCAGCACCAGTACCAGCACCAGTCCCAGTACCAGCACCAGTACCAGCACCAGTACCAGTACCAGTACCAGTACCATTACCAGTACCAGTACCAGTAGCAGTACCAGTACCAGTACCAGCACCAGTACTAGCACCAGCACCAGTACCGGCTCCAGTACCAGTACCAGTACCAGTACCAGTACCAGTACCAGCACCCGTGTTTAACAGACAGTCACCCGGTCCCCCAGATGAACAGTCCGCCTCCACTGAAGGAGTCACAGAACAGCGCCCCCTGTTGAATGTTGATCTGTGTCTGGATGAAGACGGAGGTGAGGAGGAGGTGGCAGAGGTGAGGAGAGGAGTGACGGAGCGTCCTGGTGTTCAGTCTGTAGCTGCAGCAGTGAAGACACAGAGGGTGGAGGTGAGACGCTGCTGAGGTGAAAACTGTCTCCACCAGGTGGAGGTCTGTACCTGCTGATGGAGCTGGTGTGGTGATGGAGGTGCTCCGACCTCCTGACCTCCTCTCCAGGGCAGCTGTAGTGGCTCCACAGTTCCCTACAGGCTCTCTTTGCGATGGAATAATGCTGCGTTTGAAAAGCCGCCTGAAGACGAAGACGACAATCATTATAATTAACGATATTCTTTAGTGAAGATGTAACGATGTGTGGTACAAATCTGTGACAATTCTCATTAGTTGAAATGACTAATGAATTCCACATCGTGGCATGAGGAGTAGAGTGAGTTAAAAAGTCACTGGTCACACCATGACACTACACACTCTAGTACAGCAGGTGGCAGTATACGTGGGTGGTGTTGTACCTGGGCCAGGTGAGCCCACGTGGACAACAGCTGCACTGGTGCTGACGCCAACAGTGGGAAGGTGGTCCGACCAATGGCGTTGCCCAGTAGTTTCCCCTCACTGCTGTAGGCGGCCACAGCAAAGATGTACTTCTGGTTGGGTTCCAGGTGGTCCACTCTGAGGACACAGCCCGCACCAGGTGCTGCTGGGACCTGGAACGACACACAGTCCAGACCAGGTTCAAGGACTCCTGACAGAGGTCTTCAGTGACAGAGTGAACCGTACCATGTGTCCAGTTCCAGACAGACTGCAGTCTCCCAGACGGACTTTGTGGTTGATGCCTTCAGCTGCACGGCCACAGAGCTGGTACCAGCAAACCTGAGGAGGAGCAGAAGGAGGAGCAGAAGGAGGAGCAGCAGGAGAAGAAATGATCAAAATAAAGTAGGGAAAAGAAATCAACATGTGGATTAAAAATCTGACTCTAATCTAACCTGCTGGTCAAACTCGTACGGAGCCGGAGAGAACGTGAAGGAGTGATCAGTCCGTGACAGGAGGACCGGAGGAGGAGGAGGAGGAGGAGGTGGGGGCCTCTCTTCTCCACCCTTCATTTCTTTAGCTGTGTTCTCAGCTGGAGGTCTGGAGACAGTGGACAAATACAGACGTTTCTCCTCCACTTCTGCTTTTTCCATCAGAGCGACGGCCTCCTGACGGCAGACGGAAGAACGACGTCTTAAATTCACACTAAAATGAAACTTGTCACAATCACCAGCTGTAACACACAGGACCATGAAGCTGTGTGTGTGTGTGTGTGTGTGTGTGTGTGTGTGTGTCTGACCTCCAGCAGACTCTTGACTTTTCTGTTGTTCTTTGTCTCTGTGCTGTTGAACATCAGCAGTGATTTCTGGATCAGGAACAAAGATCTGGAGACTTTGTTCTTGTTGATGTGACCCAGGAGTTCAGACTCAGTCACTGGACACAACAACAACAACAACAACAACAACAACAGTTTAACACTGTAACCTCCTGGTCAACCCTGTCCACGGTGTCTGGTGGCTGCAGTTCTTCTGACCTTCCTTCAGCTGCAGTAACTTCACTGACGCTCTGTGGTGAATGATGAGGAACTCCAGATGAAGATCTGAGAGCTGCAGAGGAACACCTGAGGACAGTTGGAGTCCAGAACCTCCAACATCCGCTCCTGGACGTTCCTTCTGGTCAGTACACGTTCCATCATCTCCAGTCACATCTTCTGATGGTGACGATGGAGGAGACGACGGAGGACGAGGGCAGAATTTCTGTGAGAACGTGGTGTAGGATTATTGGTACCACAACAACTGGTATCAGTGCAGTATTGGACAGAAGGCCAGACCTGAATGAAGGCAGCGTCTGTGATTGGTTGGCTGCTCAGAGGAAGTGATGCGGTCACAGCCTCAGTCAGAGCCCCCGCCCCCCTCCTGGTCAACTCACACACCTTCTGCAGCAACTCAGAGCTGGAACTCTGTGGGAACAGAGAGGACGTCTGTTTACACAGGAGGACAGAGGACAGAGGACAGAAGACTGGACTGGACTGGACTGGACTGGACTGGACCGGAGGTTCTTACCCCTAAAACAGAAGAAGAAGAAGAACTCCTGGTTCCTCCATCAGCATCTGCTGCACAGGAAGTTCTAAAGTCATCAAAGAGTCCTGAAGGTGACGGGTGTGAAGGGTGTGAATGTCTGACCTCTCACCTGATGACCGGGTCACCTGGTGTGTCAGGTGAGCGTGTTCAGCCGCTGCCTCCAACCACTGGACCAGGGTGTGTATCATCTGAGTGACTGTCGTACAGACTGAAGAGTCCAGACGACAGCAGGAGGCCACGTCACACACCCTGGACAAACACCACAGCCACTGGACACAGGTCCACGGTCAGGACACGGTCAGGACACAGTCAGGACACTACTCCAATACCTGAAATACTACACTGCTGCATGTACTGCAACACGTACCTTGTCATACTTGTCAAAGTTCTCTGAGTTCTGCAGGTTCTCGGCCTTTAGAACCGTCTTCATTTTAGCCCAGAGAACTAAAACCACCTCCAGAACCAGGTCCTGGTCCGGCTGCTCCTCCTACACAAACCACCGTTGGATGAAAAACAAACAGAACGGATCCAGGAAATACACAGAAATACACACACACACACAGGTGTCCACCTACAGGGGGCGTGCCACACACACACTTGTGCAGAGTCTCCACCAGACGAATGAACTCGTCATGGACTGAGGATGATGAGGATGAGGATGATGAAGACTTGGGCTTTTCTGCAGAGACAAAACAAACACACAAATAAAAACTGAAATGAAACTTTTTTTTTATACTTTATCACCAAATCATTAAAGTCAGAGAGACAGCAGTGACTAGATCAAAAATAAAACTGAAAATAAAACTTAAAATATAATTAAATGGAAACAAACATTTATATTAATGGTTTAAAATATAATCAAAATGCATCAAATGGAAACAAACATTTATATTAATGGTGAAATATACAGTTAAACGCGTTCTTAGGAAAACTTTATATTAAGATTATTATTATTATCGTTATTATTATCATTATTATTATTATCATGATGTCATCATGACTGCAGCTCTACCTTCTGTGGCGACGTTGTCTTTCGGACGACTCTGTGACGACAGCAGTCTGTTGTAACTGTCCAGTAAAGAAAGTTCATTCTCTGCCTTTCTGAACAGCTGCCATTCAACACCCTGACACACACACACACACACACACAGACAGACAGACAGCAGGTCATACAGTGAAGGTTGTTCAACCTATGATTTGACTCCAGCAGACTGATCAGGACAGTGTGGTGTGGACGTTCTAACCTGCAGCATCTCTCTGCTCAGGGCAGTGAACCACTCTGTCTTCTTGTAGTGAAGTAACAGCCTCATGAACCTGAGTGCAGACGGAACCGACACTTTGTTCTCCCCTGTTAACACAGAAGACAGAAACACATGTCATACCAAGGAGCATCAACACGTGGCCCGCGGGCCAAATTCAACCCACAACTAAATTAAAAAATACACATCAAATAGTACTGTTAGACAGAAACGTGTTTGAATCCTATAAAGGAGTATCGCTATGGTAACCGGTCTAATTATAACCGTTTGATTTGAAGGAACTTGGTGTCAGTCCTCAGACAAGAACAACAACAGAAAAGTTCACAGAGTAGTTCAAAGTAACAGAGGTCAGAGGTCAAAAACCAACCTTGAACGGCCAACGTTCACAGAGTAGTTCAAAGGTCAAAAACCAACCTTGAACGGCCAAGTCGATGAGAGAGGAGGTCGGTGTCAGTGTCCTGAGACGCACTTCTGATGGAGCTTCACCTCCTTTTCCAGGATTAGTCCCGACTCCTTCACAGAAGTCGAGGGTTCATTTCATTAGTCCTTCCTGTCACATTCACTTCTTCAGGTTCTTGGTTAAAAAGCTGCGTCTACTTTACAGACCAGACAAGATGCTGACTCCTGCCGACATCAGTTCCAGGATCACCTCCTGCTGCTCTGCATCATCTGGTGTCTTGGTTCGGTCCCAGAGTGCTTCCAAGATTCCTAAAAACTGCGCTGCGCTGTTGTCAAACAGAGCCACCAGGAGGTGCTCTGTTGGAGAGCGGGGCCACGACACCTGTGACAGAAAACCAGTTAAAACAGGAACTGTGTCCAGATGGACGAAGACCAACGAGGGGTTAAATCTGGTCTCACATGGTACGTGTCCTTCAGCTGGAGTCTGGGTTTGGCTCTGACCACAGCTTTAGGTCTTGGTTTGGTATCAAACACTGCCCGTTTGAAGACCATGGCACCGAGCTGGAAAAGAACGGAAACTTTGGAATGAGCACACAGAAATAAAAAGACGACGTCACGACACGTGATGGAAAACTGTTTCCTCTGCTCCTTCACGATTATTTATATTTATGATGCAGTTTGAGGTTTGCTTGCCTTGATGGAAGCTTCTTTAAAAGCTCTCTGGGTCCCCCTGGTGGTAGGAACTCCACTCTGCTCCTCTAGATTTGCCAGCTCCTTGATTTTGCCCAGGGCTCTCCGGGCAAATTCCTACAAAAAACAAAGATACAATTCAGAAATAGAGGAGAAAAATGAAACATTCATGGACACGGAGCACATTTTATAACGTATAGTCCTGGATTAAGAGTTTTGAATTCCTGTGAACTCCTGTCTTTACCTCCCCCTGCGCTGACGCCTGAGTGCGGTAATAACACTGACAGACTGCACAGTAGAGCGTGACGATCCACGACAGGTTGTCCACCGTCATCAGGGGGATGGAGAGTTCCAAACTGATGCTGGCCCACAGAAGGTACTCCAGAGCCTGGAGAAGATGACGGACGTCAAGATGGATGAAAAGACAGAGCAGCTCGTCGTGTTTGTTCGTCTGTCTGAGTTACCTGTGAGCTGCAGTTCTTAGTCATCAGGTGACGACAGATGGTGTAGATGTGGAGGGAACCTGAAAAGACACCAGAGGAAAACGGAGCTGCTGTCACAGAGCAGTGAACACAGAAGGATGAAGGTTCAATGAAACTATAAAACCTCCACAGGCCCAGGTTGTACCGATGTACCGTTATATAATATCCAGCAGAGGCGCTCATGTTGCTGAAAAGCCTGCATGGTGATCCTGATGAAGTTCAACACACGCAGCAGTTTACACAGTGTGTCCTGAGTGAGGACGTCATGTCTGGTCTCCATCTCAAATATACACAGAGCACAGCCGTGCATGGCCCGCACCTACACACACACACACACACACACACACACACACACACACACACAGGTGATACTGCAGGTCAAATCAGACAGGTCAACACACACACACGACACCTGACATTCTACAGTAGAACACACCTTCAGCACCAACTCCTCCTGGTCCTCATCCAACCCCCCAGGAAAGAAGCAGGTCCTGAAGTGGTCCACACTGGAGACCTCTGTGATCTGGACTGAAGTGTACTGCTGCAGGTGGACACTGTAGCCCTGCCACAGAGCCACCTCATACAGCTGCAGAGATGACAGGGGGAGGAGGAGGAGGAGAACTTCAAGTCTGTGGTTTGAATTTAAATTTCTGCATTTGAAGAAAAAACAAATCATCACCAGAAAAGTCACAGGAACTGTTTTTTACCTTGATTCCAAAGAGAAAGTCGGCAACCTGCAGCATCCGCTCCTGGTACAACTTAGACGGCAGTCGATGTTTGTACTTTCCCCAAATGTCCACTAGGGTTTTAATCCTACAAAATGACAATGAGTGACAGTAAAAAAAAAAAAAACAAGTTATAATTAATTACTATCTCACTGTGTGTCACAGTGAAGACGACCTGCTGACCTTTCATTGGGTTTCAATGTTTCAATAGAACTTCATATTTAAAATGATCAGAAACAAATCTGACCGATTAAATAAGAGAACAAATAAATGTTTACATCCCTTTATTCCAAATGACACACATCAATGAACATCAATAACAGTAACAGACAGGTGGCACCAGTTTGGGTCATGACGGCTTTTCCCCAAATTCTTTTTTCTTTTTTTTTTGTAATCGTACATATAAAGGAAAGATACAACAATTTAGTAAATGATATGTTTAAAATCTTAAAAACAGTCTAATGAACGTATAAAGTACCTCGTGGGATTTGACAAAAAATGTGATGAGACATGATGTCATTATTCGAACTCTTTCATCCTTTGAACTTGTTAGTCTACGAAGAGTCTGTTTAATAAACGTTTCTCTCCGCCTCAGCTTCAGCTTCAGTCAGGGGTCAAAGTCTCGCTTCATGTACCAGTACTTCTACTGGGTGATCCCACACTACGACAATCTCAGGAATCACAATCGGTACTAAGGCCTTTTTTCAAAGGTTGTATCCTAAATATATTCTGTTTGGCCCCGGTCTGTGGTTGATGGAGCCAATCCCAGCAGCCACCAAACAAAAGCTGTGTTTACAGCTGAAGACAAACATTCACACTCACATTCACACTCACTTCAGGGTGAACAGTTACCTTAACTCTGCATGTCTCTGGTTTAATGGGAGGAAAAAGAGGAAGCGGACATCACAACAAACAGATGTGGGATTTGTACTGGCAACCTCCCTGCTGTAAGGCAACAAGGCCTGACCATGAAGTCACCGTGCCGCTCCTGCATGGAGCATTAACTAACCAGCTGGTGTTTAGTTTAACATCTGACCCAATATGGAGTGGTTTTTAGTGTAAGTTGACAAAATATCAAAAGATAATTTAGAAGATTTGTTTTTTATTAGTACTAATGTAATAACTTTCCCAAAACATTAAAAAACATTATAAATAGCACAGCTCCTTAGGTTAAAATGTATTGGACTTTTCTAGTTTTTTACTTGCAAACTGTTTTCAACTTTGTTATTATCATTCACAGATATTATTATTTTAACCGAGCCATGACAATTTCTCCTGCGTATTTCGGCCATATTGTTTCATATATTACGGCTTCTGTTTGTTTACCTTTGTGTGGATCACGTTACATGTCCGCTGATAACGCCAATCAAACTTATTTTATTCTTTTCTCGGACAGTCGTTCACATGGTTGACAGTGAGTCTTGTCGACGTTAGAGTAAAACAGTTCCGTTTCTCTGTCCTAGCAGACATGTTTAGACATGTTAACGGGATCTGAGTTTTCCCGCTCATGGCTTCTACGTATTTTCCTCACAAACAAACAAACACCAGAGTTTTCCCGCTCATGGCTTCGACGTATTTTCCTCACAAACAAACAAACATCTCTGTGGTTGGATCTCCTTTTACAATGCCCGCCCTCAAACCAACAAACGTAGCTCCGATTGGCTGTCGCCCTCATTTAACTCAGCGCTGATTGGGTTTTATCTCGTTTTCGTTAGTCGACTAACGCGTTGGTCGTCATCGTTTCCCACAACTTCCTGTTTACTTTTCGCTGAATTTCCTAACAAGAGAAGTTCGTTAACTAAGTATTTGACCAAAGTTAAGTTAAATATTCATTGCTACTGGAGTCAGATTAATATTATCTCATTAATTTCAACTCCTTTCTGGGTAACTTTTTAAACGGGTTCTTAAGTTTGCATAATAATTCGGTACACAATCTTTTAACTTGTATTTTATTTTTATTTCTTGAACAACGACATACAGCGGTTGTCTGTGGGAAGTTTCTTACCCTCTGGAGTAAAATCCATTTCTGTCCGTTTGTCCGTATGAAGGACCGCAGACTCGTCTCATCAGAGTCATGAAGGAGTTCAGCTCCTGCTCAAAGGCTGACAGCAGCGGGTTCCTCCTCTCACCTCCACACTGATGTGAAGCCATGTCTCTGCTCATGAGCTCCAGGTTCACAAAAACCTAGACCCAGCAGCGTGGCTCGATCACAAACGGTTTCCAACAACAAACGGTCACGTGACCCGGTGGCGTTAACATGG